TATGCACACATACTACACATTGTCAATACAATTATTTTGTCAGAATGCCCAACTCTTCCTCCGATACCTACTTCGATCCCCTACTTCACAATCTGATCTGCTTTGCCCTTCAGGACAACATAACGCTGCGGCTCATATCATAGTTCCTTCTTCGGGATAAGACATTTCAAGTGGTCTACACTTTTTTTTTTTTTTCCCTTCTAAACTTGGCATCCTGCTGCAGTATCCAAGACTGGGCCAGGAACATTAAAAAAAAAGACTGGGCCAGGCATTTCTCTTTACGTCTGGCGGCCATTCAAAGGGCTGAGAAGGTACTGTATTTCAACTTTCGGTAATTGGGCTCTGGCAGCATGTCCCCTGTGCTTAGCAGGGCAATCAACGCTGCAGCGGCCCCTTGGTCAACAAGTACTCAAAAAACTTGAGTGCGGAGGGGTATCTTTTGCATTCATTGTACAATAAATGTTTATGAGACGTTGCATCCGGTTTCCAGCAGATGCAGCTCCGCACAAATAGATCGGAGCTTTCTACATTACGAAGAAAAAAAAAAGGGGGGGACAACTTTTACACAGTCACGGAAAACAGGTTCAAAATGCATTCCCGGCATCCCTCGAATAGAACGCCCCCCCACCGGACCCTAAAGCTAGCTTGTATGCATTCAACATTTCCAACGTTTTGCCTAGACTGCATTTTGAAACTGAAACCGTGACTGAACCCCATCTGAATGAATGGGCACATCTCTCTCCCACATTATTTTCTGTCTTCTTTTTTTTTTTTTTTTTTTTCCCCCTCAATGTAGAACACAACTTTTTCCTTTTTTGTTCCCTCCATTTGTTTCAAACTTTCTGACTAGAACATGCCAGTGACAGTTGATTGGCTGACAACCCATTACCTCACGCGCGTACCTGTGCGTTGATGCTACTGTGTTCACCCATATACGACGTATTGTCATTATAGATGTATTTGGGAGAGCTTCGCATGTAGATACAGCAATAATGACCGTGCATTTTTTTCATTTTTTATTTTTTTTTAAGACCGTGCATTTTGTACTTGTGTGAACACAGTTACGGAATTTCATTACCTCTTTTTGGAGAAACTACGCGGAGTCACAGAAACGAGTTATAAT